TATTCTGATTATTTTCAATAAAAGTGATATAATGGAAAAATTGCATGCTCTAAATTTAACCATTTAAAATATGGTGTGCCATGTAGAAATCCTCCTGTGTAGAAATCTTAAAATATGTTATGTGTCTTTTACTAGAAAATATAAATTTAGAAAGTAGCATTTTAAAGAAATGACTGGTAAACTAAATTAGACATTGTCCCTTTTCTTAAAAGAATCAATGCAAACATTAAAAATTTGTTGTGAAATGCTCATCAGCTGCATGCTAAAGAAGCCTAATGAGATAAAACTGGTAAGCCTTATTTATTAAAGTTAGCAAAGCAGGTACAGAGGGATGTAATAATATTGACCTGAGTGCCAAAAGGGATTAAATACATAGGACATCTCATTGCTAACTTCCCATTTCAAAAGTTCCTGATAACTTTACTTATAGCCTGAAAAAGTGGTTTACTCAGTGAGGTGTGGTGTTTGATTGGATTTTATTTAGGGTTTTTTAGCAATGTTTCACTTGGAAAAATACTTGGACTGATCTTATACTCATGTAAGCCTTGAAGAAGAAATGAGTAGATTTCAAGTGTGATTAATGCTGAATTTTTCATTCTACATGAAGAAAAAAAAATCATGATGCATAATATATATTTAACTTCTCTGAAGTTTGGGGATTTGGATAGGTAGTTCAGACTAGGTCATGATTGAAATCCACCAATTCTTCATTGACACCAAAACTATACCTTAGAACTTTGGCATTCCATCAGTTTAAAATGTTGAACCTCTTTTAAAAATTTGCTTCTTTTATTATGTTTTGATTAATTTTTATGGGTCTTCCTAGCCTCTTTTTCTCACTTTTTGAACTTATATTTTATTTAATCAATTTACTAAATCTAACATGATTGACAGGATTCTTCCAGTCCACTCTAGTATTGTTCCTAAAATATAGCTACAGCAGTTATACTTTAGCACTTCAGTACAGCAGATGATTTTAATGAGAAAATCCATGTTATTGAGTTTTAGAATGCTTTAAACTAACTTTCTCATTCAACTTCTGAAGTCAATATCAGTTTAACATGATAATTTACATAAAATTTATCTGAAATGACTCTGCAGTCAGCTCACTTCAGTGGTTTTGATTACTCCCAGTACTAACTTTGCTACACAGCATTTTAGGTTTACTCATAACACTGTTGGATTGGATCCTACTTAGGCATAGCAGGGCTAATTTATATATAACTTGATGGCTGAACAAACAAGTGCACAAATAAGCATTCATATTTCCCCATGGGCTTGAATAGGTTGTGCTGAAAATCCACGTTATGCCTTCACTCTTCTTACTATCAAACTAGTTAAACATGACGGCAGTTTGCTTATTGGTACTGAAAATCACACATTCTGTCAGAGGTGTTGACTTACCATTTTCTCTTGTGTGCTCTAGACATAGTTATTCCAAGAAACAGTCAGTAACACACTGAGAAGTACATAGTATGATTGCAATTTGAATAACAGATAGATACACAGCTGGAAATATTGCTAGTGATGATCCCTCTTCAGTTTCTTAATCTTAGTGATATTTTCCTGGGTTTTCATAAATATCTGCTGTCATATTTGTTGCACTTGGCAAACATAATAAATATAATAGTTAAGAAAAAGAAAAAAGTGGTTCTAGACAAAATTGAGAAAATTGGAAAGAGATAAAAAATTGAAACTGGGATTTTCCTGTAGATTTTTGACCTGCTTTTCATGAGTGCATCTAATTTTTTATAGTGTATATAGTGTAATCGTATAGTGATTTCCAGTCAGAAAGCTTCATTGATTAGGTATGCAAGAATCTCTATATACAGTCTATCTGTAATATCCATCATAAACTCAAGTGTTTATGTAGGTAGTGCAGGAATAGTTTGATTTTTCATTTCAGTAGTCTTAATAAAGGTGATCGCTCTCTTCCGCATCTCTCTTCACTCTTTTCTTGATTTTCTTGTATTATTCTTATTTTATCCATTTGTTTTAGAGGAAAATATACAATTAAAAGGCACATAATTTTTTATTCTGGAATGGTTTTTTGAAATGCTATTTTGTGACTCTTTCTTTCTTTCTTTCTTTCTTTCTTTCTTTCTTTCTTTCTTTCTTTCGTCTTTCTGTCTTTCTATCTTTCTGTCTTTCACAGCAGCAATAGCTCTAATATGTATTGCTCAACCAATATTTTTACTTTTTGCTCTTACTTCATGACATGGCAGCCAGAAGGGCCAACTATGTTGGGGTGGGCGGTGCATGAGGCACAGTATCACCAGCTGGAAAAGGGAAGGGAAGGGAAGGGAAGGGAAGGAGAAAGGGAAAAAGGAGAAAAGTAAGGAAATAAGAGAAAAGGGAAAAGAAAGAAAGAAAGAAAGAAAGAAAGAAAGAAAGAGAGAGAAAGAAATTGGTGTCTATTAGAGAGCATCCAAATGACGGCAACAAAGACGGAGAATGGCCTTGAAGGAAAGCTGCATGAGGAATGGCTGAACCCACTTGTTCTGCTCAGCCTGGACAAGAGGAGACTGAGGGAAGACCTCATTGCAGTTACAACTTCCTTGTGAGAGGAAGAGGAGGGCCAGACACTGATCTCTCCTCTGTGGTTACCAGAGACAGGACCTGACGGAATGGCCTGAAGTTGTGTCAGGGGAAGTTTTGGTTCGATATTAGAAAAAGGTTCTTCACCTAGAGGGTGGTTGGGCGCTGGAACAGGCTCTCCAAGGAAGTGGCCACAGCACCAGCCTAACAGAGTTCAAGAAGAATTTGGACAATGCTTTTAGGCACAAGGTGTTCTTGGGGTGTCTGGCTCAGGGCCAGGAGTTGGACTTCAATGATGCTTGAGATTCTCTCCCAGTTCAGGAAAGTCTATGATACTGTGGTTCTGTGACTTCTTTTACACAACACTCCAACCTCAAATTACACTTTAAATTCTACAGGAGAGAAGCAGCTAAAGGTTTGGGCTTACTGCTTTAACAACTTCAACTTTTGGGCTTCTGTTTAAGTTGGATTTTTTTACAAAAATATTGTACAAAAGGGACTCCAAGTAGAAATATATATATATGTGCATAATCTTATTTACATCTGTATGTACATCCTGACTCTTGAATTAACATTCTTATGACTGAAATTCAGAAATATAGAATATGTGTTTCTAGAATGAACTGGTCTGGATTTGGGTTCTTGTTGTATTCTACTTTAAAAAAAATTAAAAACTACTTTTATTCAATCAAATTCAAATGCTAAAAATTCCCATTCCAGTGGATTTTTTTTATATTCCTAAACTGCAGTTAAATGTCAACTAAACTGGGGAAAGAGTAACTCAGATCCTTTTTTTTTGTCTTCATATTAGAAGCCAAAGAAAATTTTTTGCTGGTTATATCCTTTTTCTTAAGGAAAAATACACAAACTCTGTTTCAAAGTAAAACTCACCTTTTCTTGTGTCTTTTATGGACACTCCCCCAACTTAAAATACATTATGGTACTTATGCTGTCATCCTCCTCATCAAATATAAACATTTCATAGATTTAGTATGTCTCAGGCAGTGCCAAATCACTGTATCATATTCACTTCTCTTTTATTCATGCCTCCCCATTGACTCTAATAAAGTTGGACTAAGTGATAATGTTAAACATGAACATCATTTTTTTCATATCTATTCCCATAGAGTTCCTTCCTTACAAATATATTTCAAATTAAATATGGCAGGTGATCTGCCAACATTTTTCTTTCAGTGATTATCAGCAAAGAAAATGTTGAATGAAAAGGATTACCTTATTTTCCATATATCTTTAAAAGAAGCATGCTTGGGATCCTCACATTACACATGGTAGTGTATTTGTTCCTTTCTCATTACAGAATATTATTTTATTATTATAAAATATTTTATAAGTACATTATAAATTATTTATTTTATATAATAAATAGAAATAGTATTTATACTCTCATGTTTATAAAATAAATTTTAATTCTATAATACTTCTACTACTTCTCTCAGAGATATTAGCTTCTGGAAATTATTTTGTGAAGATGCATATTAATCACAAGATTATTTTATGTGTATTTTATTGTATCTCTTAACAATGCCATCATCCACGGCTGATTTTGCAAACCGTTACAGTAAATCATGAAAAGGAAATAACTCTTGAGATTTTTTTTTCTGTTAGTTGTTTCCCACAGCTTAGGGATTTTATGTTTACTTATGAGAGAAACTGTCTCTGCTGTAAAAAAGGTGGAGCACTTAGGTAATCATGATATCTTCTGATGAATGTGTGCTGGTGGTGAATATTATCTATCACTTTATATATTTGAACAAAACTCAGAGAATTATTTTCCTGTTATGCTGTATTTGTTACATCTACTGTAACTCCACATTTTTACTTTTCATTTCAGCAGTTATAAATAGGTGTACGTTTTTACCCATAAAGGCAAATATAGTATTCTAAATATATTGTAATATATAAAAAGCCCATATTAAACAAGTAAACAAACAAACAAACAACCTGCCAACAGGAACTATCCATACTGATAACAAAAAGAAGGAAAAAAAAATTGTAAAACATATTTTTTCACCATTTTGATATATTGATTGATTTACATACTTACACATTTAAAATTGTTTCTGTCTAAAGGTACAAAAAGTTTTGGTAAATTAGACCTTAAAATAAAAAGATTATACTCTTTATGCAAGTGATAGCATCAGCTGTGACAAAACTATGTAGTAACTGATGAGACAGCCATACATGCTGCATTTCTTGATGGTTCTGGTGGGCTTGAAAGACTAAAGAGTAGTTTATAGCATGGAAAAAGGATTAAGAAGTGGATAAAGATGAAACAAATGAATAAAAGCAGAATCCAATTATTTATGGTACATTGCTGGCAACAGAAATTGTTCCATGGATATTCACAGCAGCTAGTGGCAAGTGCTTCAAATAATAAATTACTTATAAGTTCCCAATCATCTCAAATCTTTTTGTATTTTACATAAGGAGTTTTTACCTACCAACTCCAGACATCTCCGGAATACTGGCGGTGTACATGTCCTTGGTGAATTTTGGTTCATTGTCATTGATATCGTGGATTTTAATGATAAATTCAGACTCTGGCTCCACTTGTCTTCCAGTTTTTCTGTCTATAGCCTTGGCACGTAGCACATACAGGGACTTTTCTTCTCTGTCCAATTTCTTTGCAGCATGAATATCTCCTGTATTTTCATCTATAATGAACAGACTACCAGCCCCATCTCCTGTTAATATGTATTTTAAATTTCCATCTCCTTTATCTTGGTCAGTGTGTAGCTTCAGAGAGGTAGAAAAGAAGAATTTTATAAATATATGTATTGTTATTACAGATCAAATAATTCAGCATATATGAATACGTCTGTACAATCTTGACTATAATTGGGGTCAGTAGTGGTTATCTTCTGTCAGTCTGTTGGAAAAATTGAAAATTTTAGGCTCAGTCATACACAAAAAATAGCTGCAAACAAACCCATAAGGACAGAGGAGGATGTAGAGAATGTTGAAATGCTATTTAAAATAACAAATTTATAACAAAAAATTGTAGTTCTTTGAACAGTATGACCAGAAACTACCATAATTTTCCTTTTAAAAAATGACAGGGACTGCAAAATTCCCAAATTTCTATTTGTAAAATAATTATTGTCTTCTATTTACTGGTTGCTGAGCAGGCAATATGTTACCTTGAAACAAAACAGAAGAAATGAGTTTTAAGTATTAGAGATTCTGAACCTTCCCAAATCACCTATAAATGTTCTAATTTAAGTAACTTGTGTTTCTAGTTGTATTTTTTTGTCTTATTTTATTTTTTAAAGGAACATCTTACCTCTGTTGATTGCTTCCTTCTTACTAGTCCTCTCCACACAGAAGAAATAATTTTCAAGAACACCAGGAGGTAAATGTTCAAAGCATAGAGAGGGCTTTAACAATCCTTTTCCTACTCAACCTCTTTGTAAGAGTTCAAAACACTCTCCTTGTGAACTTACAAGCACTGGTTAATTTGCCATACAGCACTATTATGGAAAAGTATGTAAAACCAAAATCAAAACAAGACATTGAAGCTGACCCATGCACTAGAAATTCTCGCATAATGCACTTCTTCGGGAGTCCATTCCTCTCATTTCATTTACATGGCCCTGTAGTTCATTTTTTATGAGCTTATGCAGTAAATTTTCCCTATATAAATCCTTACAGTCACATCTGGCCCCAGACTGGTGACTTAAGTGCTTCTCAAGCATGGACAGAGACAATCTTATCTTGGCATGTTTTCTACTTTTCTGAATACAAAAGTATAGTATATCAACAACCTGAGAAAATCTTGCTCAGTATCAATAACGGTATTACTCTAGAGAGTCACTAGAACAGTAAGTTTATTTTTGCCACATTTTGCCTTGTTTCTGTATTCCTGTCAGTGTTTACCTCCATGTTTCATAGCTGAACCATTGAACATTTTTCTTATTCTACCTGTATGAAGAAGGAATTGCAATAGATTTTTTCCAAATTATTCACTTTCACTTCTCTTTTAACGCTGTATCATAACACTAGTCACCAAATACTGTTTTGATCTTCAAGAGATAAGATTGGATGTGACAATCATCCAAGATAGGTCATCTCATAGTAAGTTTTAATGCCTACTGTGTTCACTCTCTATCTAATAAATACCTGTGAAAATTATTAAGTATTGCATTGTCATCTGCTAAAAAGAGGTTCTATACACTAAAAGGTGCAGATGAACAGCAGGCTGTAAATAGAAATATTATGAGCTTGCCAACCTCATTTTGACTGCTCATATGAGCAACTCTGCTGGTCATCAACCAGGGTCTACAACCTTCTGAAAGGGACAACAATAAGCAAGTAGTGGGAGCAGTGATCTTTTCTATGCTAATAAGTGGTTCTGACAAAAAATCTTATCTGTCCATTGCCATTACTTTACCCATCTTCCTAACAATATACACAGCCTCCAGAGATTAGGCTTGTTTATTTTACCAGTCTGTTTAAACTATCTACAAAGATGTCAGGTAACTCAAACTTTGATAGGTATTTTAAGCTTCTACCTGTATCAAGTTTCTACCAAATTTTCAAGCATGATAAAATTGTGACTAGAATGTGATTTCCTGGCAATGAAGAGTTCTACCACCTATTGACTATTTACTATTAAGAAGTACTAAAAGTATGTTTGCAAGCTATCGCTTATCCTAAATGTGACAATTTCTAATTCCTATGCAAGTTTTGTTTTACTCTTCACATTACAGGAATCTCTTTTTTTCTGTGAAGCAATTTTGCAAGTTCATAGCTTGTGGAAAAGAAAAGAGACCATTTTCATATATAAGAATAAATAAAGTAAAATATTATCTGGCATCCTATAAAAATAAAATACTAGTTGTGAAAAACAGAGCAATCAACCCATCTTCTTACTGTTTAGAATTATATAAATACAAAATATGCTTTCAGCTTCTGAGACACAATAACTTCAAATAACATTGTGAAGGTTTATGCAAAATTAGTATACTGAGATATATATTTGTAAAGAGACAGTGCAATGTAATTTTGACTAATCTATAATGTTTCTTGATGAATAGTAATCTTCTATGAGCCATTTAAATATTTTGAATTTCTAATATAAAATACAATTCCAGCTTTTCAAATGTTAATTTCTCTACGTAAAGTCTACAGAAAATTGCCCGCAGTAAATCACATGCAAAAATGTGGTGCGTTATAAAAATCGTGCCTTTTTATTGACTAAAACCAAGGAACGAGAACAGAAAAATTTTCTAATTCCTGTTTCCAATTACAGTAAATAAATTTACATACAAAATGGTTTGTGGAATTTTTTTCATTAGTAAACTCTTTAGATATGTGACAGAGGCTCAGATGTTCAAACTGGAAAAATAATATTAATACATATTATCAATATACTAATATATATTAATACATACAATGATGTGTATTAATGCATTAAATTATTAATAAATGTGATCTGAAGTAATCCTTGACTGCTGTCATTTCCCTCTACCTTTTACAGACTCAGCAGGTCTGGGAAGGTACACCATTCACAGAAAGCAAAACATCATTCCTATTATTTGTTCTACATGACCTTTCTCTAATTGGATTTGGGGAGGTTAGAAAGCAAAAACTTCACATGGGTGGAACACAAACTTTTCAAACATTTCCTTTCTCATATCACAAATTAAATATCCTGCAAATCAGAAACATGAAACACTTTGATAAATGAAAAAACCCCATGACCAACACCCCCGCAAATCAAACCTGCAAAGAAAAATAAAAAAAAAAATCCCCTCAAACATCCAAAAAAAAGTAGATAATACATCAGATCCTTAATATGTATATATAGTACATATTGACTGCTGATAACAAATGCCATCCTCATTAATTCATTTGAAACATGTTGGAATGAAGACATAACCCAGATACAGTGCTGAGAATTTGCACTTCTTAATATTCCTTTGCACACATTTCTCTCTTTCTAGTCTTCTGTGTGACTGGCTAAAAAATTCTCAACACAAATTTTCCTGTGGATCATCAGAGACAAAGATATTAGTAATGATTAGGGGAATGACAACCACTTATTTTTTTAACACTATATGACTTATAAATATGGGTAAACTTATAAATAGCCTCACAATCTTTTTTTTTCTTTCTTTTCTTTTTTTTTCTTTCTTTTTTTTTTTTTTAACCTAGATAAAATGTCTCAAATTAGCTTGTCTCTCCAGTTTTATGAACTGTATTTTTACGTGATGTGATAATTGAAATCTTGATCTTCTCAAAAATCTTGACATAATTTTATGTGGATCACTGTTACTCTATTTTTCAATAAAAAAATGAGTAAGCAGGCAGAGATTATCTCAGAGTTCTGTATCATAATTCTATTTTCCTTAAATCAAGTACCTTGCTCCACTAGTTTACACTTCATCCCTATTTAGTACTCCGTATTTATCAAAAAGATGTTTATGGCACATAACTTCTTGGTTTTAGGCAGTATTTTATTTGACTAGGCATTCTTAGTGTGTCTGAGGCTAATTCATGACTTCTCTCAAAAGTACTGTTATATACAGTAGACAAGACATCAGTATTCTTTGAAGTGAAAAGGTATCTCAAATTGTTAAGTTCAGGAATTGGGTAGGGAATGTCAAACACAATATAGAGTAAAAAAAAAAAAGGAATATTACCTTAGAAAAGAGTTCCTTAAAGGTCCATGTTTCTTATTAATTCAGTTTTGATTTACTAAATTTCCAGTAAACTGCAGCCAATCTCATTCTTAACTGTTTGTAATAAACAGTAACTCTTTTCAAGTTAGGCAGACATATAATCAATGGAAGAGGAGAGAATCAATGGACACAGTTAACAAATTATATAGTAATATGAATGAATTTACTGCATTGAGAAGCAAGAAATTGCCAGACTTCATTTAGATTTTATTTTATTTGCAGTTTACTTCTGTACAACTATTGTTGCAGAAGAAAAGGAGAAAAAAAAAGCAGTAAGAGCCACTTATTACTAGTGATGGTTATGAATAAATACAGTGAAAACACTTATTTTGTAGCCTAAATTCAGAAAAGAGTTACAATCTCCTTTGTGGAGAGGGGAGAGGGGAAATTAAAGACAAAGTTAAACTGGGAGAGGACAGACCCCTGTTTATGTTGTGATAGGCACTCTGCTAATGCTTACGAATTAGGAGGTTTACAGTGTGCCTCTGTATCTTGGTTGAGAAAAAGGTCTATTACTACCCATCTTTTACTTCCACTGTCTCCACCCACACAGCTATCTCCTGCAGAAGAATCTGGATGTCCTGTGTCTATTTGCCTGTGTCATGGATTGACCCAGCCTGAAAATGCTTTCTAGTAGGAGTGAACAATTTTCTTTCCTTACCTTTAAAGTGAAGAAAATACATTGGGGGGTGGTTGTAAACAAACTCTTTGGTGGGTGGCATTAAATTCTTATATCTGCATATTTTAGGGAGATGAAGTCCAAGCTGGTGAAACTACTACCAGAACACAAGTGAACACCCTCTGAAAGGGTGTGTTGGTGAATCAGGATTGCATGGTACAGCAAAGTTAGAATACAGATACACATGGGTGGGTGAAAAGGTGCAGAGTTTTAAAGTCAGAAATACTGTAAAGGGGGGAGGAATTGTTCAGATGTTTCATAAACTTGAAGCATTGTATCAATAGCTCTATAGCTAGAAAGTGCTGCGGTTTGGTTGTAATGTAGCCAGACCTCCTGACTCTGGGAAATGTGTAGAGAAAGAATAATAGATTGTA